TCAGACTGAATCGCAAATAAACTAATCTTTTAAAAAACTCGACAATGACTTTTACCGTACAAACATAATCTCTGCACCTTTATGAACCTCTTAAGTTTCAATATTGATAGATATTGGTCTATAAAACCCATTTCACATACCTGTAGGAAATGATGAGATAGACACAGATTAGAAGCTGCAGCGTTCTGGCACTTTCTTTAATGGCTTTGCCCTTTGGCCAGAACGTAAAATCCTCATCACTCTTGTGTAATGCGCCACCTACAGGCATTTTACAGAAGACACTTAAACTCATGTAACATTAGAACACATTTTTAAAGAGTCTCTTAAAGAATAATCTGAGGAAAAAGAGGGGGGGGGGGTTTTGGGGTGCAGGGTTTACTTATTTTCTCATGATTTTCTTGCTTATTACTTATAAAGCCCTGAATGGTTTAGCACCTCAGTATTTGAACAAGCTCTTGTTACATTATAGTCCTCCACGTCCTCAAAACTCTAGAAATTTTATAAAACCTAGAATATCAAAATCAACTGCGGGCGGAAGATGCTTTTCCTATTTAGCGCCCAAACTCTGGAATGACCTACCTAACATTGTTCGGGAGGCAGACACACTCAGTCAGTTTAAATCTAGATTAAAGACCCATCTCTTTAACCTGGCTTACACATAACACACTAACACATTTAAAATATTCAAATCCGTTAAAGGATTTTTATCGTACTTGCTACATCGCTAGAAGAATGGCATCTATGCTAATATTAGTCTGTTTCTCTCTTATTCCGAGGTCACCGTAGCCACCAGATCCAGTCTGTATCCAGATCAGATGGTCATTGCAGTCACCCGGATCTAGTACATATCCAGACCAGATGGTGGATCAGCACCTAGAGAGGACCTCTACAGCCCTGAAAGTCAGCAGAGAACAGGACAACTAGACCTTGTCTCAGACGGCCACCGGGACAAGACCACAGGAGCCAGTTGAGTCCTCTGCACAATGTGACTTTTCTGCAGCCTGGAATTGAACTGCTGGTTTCGTCTGGCCAGAGGAGAACTTGCCCCCCGACTGAGCCTGGTTTCTCCCAAGGTTTTTTCTCCATTCTGTCACCGATGGAGTTTTGGTTCCTTGCCGCTGTCGCCTCTTGCTTGCTTAGTTGGGGGCACTTCATTTCCAGCGATATCGTTGACTTGATTGCACAGATACTATTTAAACTGAACTGAGCTGTGCTGCCTATGTTTTTATCTTTATTATATGGTGAAATTACTTTTTGATAGTTATCTCCTTTCTTAACCCTCTGGTATTGTCCACACTTGTGTTGTTCACGGTCAAAAGTGACAGAACACCTGAAATGTATCTCTTTTTTTTTTTCAGTAAAATCAATGTAATATATTTTTGTTCAATAATATTTTTTCTTTTGTATTTTGAGACAATTTCATGGTACTAATTAATATTTAGGCAATAATTATGATAAATTTTTTCACATTGAAAATAATTTTTTTTTCTAATATTTTTATATTACTTTTCAATTATGGCAGTATTTCATATTAAAATAGAGACAATTCCTTTAAAGGGGTCATATGATGCGATAAAATTTTTTCCTTTCTCTTTGGAGTGTTACAAGCTCTTGCTGCATAAAGAAGATCTGTACATTTGCAAAGACTAAAGTCTCAAATCCAAAAAGATATTCTTTATAAAAGTTAAGAGTCAGCCACACCTACCTAAAACGGCTCGTTCGAACATGCCCCCACATATCTACCTCACTATGTGGGAAGATTTGCATAACGCCGCCCAAAGAAAGAAAGCGTAACTTTTATTCTCACTGTAGTATTGTTGCCGCTGCCGCCATGTCCTGAAGACTCTTTGTGTTTCGTTGTGAAAGCGAAACTACTTTGTTTGGCCTTCCAAAAGAGGACGATATCCGCTTCGTCATGCCTAGAGCTGATCCGTGCTGGTCGCTGAGGGAATACATAAACTTAGTGCTGTGGATCGCCAGATCGGTTTTCACCGTTTTCACCGCTCCTTCGCCGGGACCGCCATTCTCGACCTCAGCTCACTCTTGCCCGGCTTCAGCTCACGCTAAGCCGGGGCTTTCGCTCACGCTAGGCCGCTGTGTTTTTCATTGTGAAAGCGAAACTACTTTGTTTTGTCTTCCAAAAGAGGACGATATCTGCTTCGTCATGCCTAGAGCTGATCCGTGCAGGTTGCTGAGGGAATACATCAACTTATGGCACTTTTCCACTGCATGGTACGGCTCCGTACGGTTCACTTTTGGGGGGGTTTCCACTGGGTACAGTACCTGGTACCTGGTACTTTTTTTAGTACCACCTCGGTTGGGGTTCCAAGGGAACCGTACCGTTACCAAAACGTGATGTGTAAACTCTGCTGATCACGGATTGGCCGGAGAGAATCGTCACTACCTGCGTCACTGAACTTGCGACACAAACACAAAAGAACCGCTAGATTTAAATCAGCACAGCCTGCGAAGGACCGAACGCAACTGTTTTGAACGAGCGCACCTTTTTTTTAACAACCAAAAAGTTTTGTTGTCTGTTGCGGAAGTACAGACGTTCCACTCGTTGATAGCAGAGGAGCGGATCCAGCGAGAGCTTGATGGGGCGATGCGGAATGAAAGTTTTTTTTAGGAGTCGTGGTAGTAGAGGCGGCGCAACTTTAACTACATGTGAATAATCCCGCCCACTCTAAAGCGGTACTGAACTGCAGTGGAAACGCAAACCGTGCCGAGCTGAACCGTGCCGTGCCGTACTGAGCTGTACCGAGCCGAGTCATACCATGCAGTGGAAAAGCGTCATTAGTGCTGTGGATCGCCGGATCGGCTTTCACCGTTTTCACCGCTCCTTCGCCGGGACCGCCGTTCTCGACCTCGCCGCCTCAGCTCACTCTTGCCCGGCTTCAGCTCACGCTAAGCCGGGGCTTTCACTCACGCTAGGCCGCTGTGTTTTTCGTTGTGAAAGCGAAACTACTTTGTTTGGTCTTCCAAAAGAGGACGATATCCGCTTCGTCATGCCTAGAGCTGATCTGTGCTGGTCGCTGATGGAATACATCAATTTAGTGCTGTGGATCGCCGGCACATTTTATGGAGGACTGTTTACTGATCCTGGGAGAGTAACATTAGACTAAAATGCCGGCAGTTCTGACTCACGTAAGTACGTTTTCTTTTATCATGTGCCACTGATGATTCAAACGTGAGTTTTGGGCAGTGTGGAGTAGCACTTGTTGTTTGTCATTTCTCCGATCACAAATGCAGACAGGGTTTTATGTTTACGCGGCACGATGCAATGCAACGCGTAAAAAGACAGTATAAGTCATTATAATCAGTAATTGTGTCCCCACTGGATGCAACAAATTCCTCATTTGTAATGGGTTTTAATGTTGTCTCGTCGCTCCGGCCGGGACACGGCATTAACAGTATGTGAGGGGCGTAACATTTCTGTTTCACACTTGAGGTATTCGGCCAATCACAACGCACTGGATAGCTGACCAATCACAGCACACCTCACTTTTTCAGACCGATGAGTTTTGTAAAAATCGACGCGTTTCAAAAAGGCTGGGCATAGAGGAGAAACAATAATGTACAGTATGTGGAAAATAATGTGTTTTTTTTACTTTAAACCACATAAACACATTTCATTTCACCAAATACACAAAATAATGTTCTTTTTAGCAGCATCATATGACCCCTTTAAAATCCAGTTTTTGAATGTAGATTAGTGCCATCTGGTGGGAGTGAAAAAAGAAAAACATCTGCAATTCCATGGTTTAGCCACTAGATTCCTAGCTCTAAAAAGGTTATAAATTCTTTAGTTTTTTTGAGACATACAAACTTTTTTTTACTATGTTGTGGATTTGGATATATAGTAGTGAACATTTGAAGTGGATCAGAAAAGTTCATCAAAGTTGTCCTAAGACAAGGACGCATTTTGATTTTAGGTTTTAGGACAACTTTGATGAAAGGTTTCGATCTACTTCAAATGCTGACTACTGTTTTGGCTATTTAGACATTCTCAAAGACAAGTTTTGGTAAAGTTAATTTTTTTTGTTTGAAATGTTGTTTTGAAATGTCAGGTTTTTTTCAAACCTGAACACAGAGAAAGACATTTTGTTACACATAACATCAAAATTAAACAAAAATGTAATAAAAATGAACAGGAATGCTTAATCAGAGGTTAATCAATCTGATTTCAATCTCTTATTTGAGTCTTCTACCAAAATTTTGCACACCACTTCATTTGTGTGTGTGTATAATAGCTATTGTGTTGCGTGTGTGTGTGTGTGTGTGTGTGTGTGTCTATGAGTGTATGTAAGTGAGTGTGCGTTTGAGTGGGTGTGTGGTTTGTAGCTACTCTTGATGTTTTAGTGGGTAACTCCTTCCTTGGTGTTTGTTTTATACTGTATTGTGGCTGAATTATTGATTTTATTTCGCATTTGCAAAAACATGCTTTGTGTTACAGTGACACTAGCTCATATAGGCTATGTCATATGTATCTGTGGGGGGAGGGGTGTAATATTTTAGTGTAATATTAACGTTGTGTAATATTTTAGTGTGTCACCCCCTTCATTGTTGTGCACTTTTTATTCATCGTGAATGATTTGTAGATTGTACAGACAAAAATTCTCAGCATTTTCCTATTTTTGCGTATTTCCTATTAATTTCCAATGGTGGTCAACACAAGTGTGACTTTTTTTTTTTAACGATTATTTACATTTTTCGAATCGAATCTATGCATTCCGCTAGTTTTTCGAATCGATGAAGTAGCGATTTAAAAAAAAACAAATAAATTCCAGTCTAAAATGACCGAACAGCACTAAAAGGTTAATGAAAATATGTGCTAATCAAGCATACTAAAACAGATAAAACAGCCAGTCAGATCATCCTGAAGGTGTACGTCTGAATTTTAGAACAATGGGTTAAAGTAGGCGGTATGTAACTAAGGAGGCGTGTCTTGTGCGTAAAGGGGGCGGGGCTGGACGAGTTCCTCACTCTCATGTGTTTGAAGCAATCAGCTGAGCCCAACTTGTGCGGACGCGGCTCAAACATCGTACAACATGCAGGATCACAAGCAACACGTTTAACCCTGTGCACTGTTTGTCATTCCAACGTGTACAGAAAACAATCCAGTTAAACACCCTCTCTTTTAATTCCACTTCGCCGTTCTTTCCCCGTGAAGAATACCGATTTGGAGGTGAGTATTCCAGATTGTTTGGATGGATGGGGGGTGTGAGAGAACCTATAGTTTCGTGTTCATGCTATATCTATACGGATATAATTTAGAAACATGCATTTATAAAGTGTTTTGAATGTAATTTACTGTCAAAACATACCAGTCAACAAAGGAGTGGCTCACAAATTACACTATGAGCTCGATTTAAGGTAAACTTGCTGTTTATGAATGAGATGCATGCATGCATATAAGCTTTATGAGTGAAACTAATCTCGATCACAGTCAGGTTTGCAGCCGATAGGCTATATACCGGTAAACTTTGCGCACGCGTGTTTACAAATAACTTCAAGAGTTTGTATTTATGTCGTATTTATAGATTCACTTCTAGGTAGTGCTTACTGTTAAGTCATATTTTCTTTAGGGTTGGCAATCGAGAAAGGGCTCTTTTTAAAAAATAAAATACTGGAACCGAATTATTTTCTTGATGTGATTTTCATGATCTGTTAATGGATCAAATGATGCGGACACCGGTTCTGACAGTTTTTAATGCATTACTGCTCGTTAAAACGTCGCTAGTGGGTAAACGGCGCGAAACACACCAAGTCCTTAAAGGGGTCATATGATGCGATTTAAATTTTTTCATCTTTGGAGTGTTACAAGCTCTTGGTGCATAAAGAAGATCTGTAAAGTTGCAAAGACTAAAGTCTCAAATCCAAAGAGATATTCTTTATAAAAGTTAAGAGTCAGCCACACCTACCTAAAACGGCTCGTTCTAACACCCCCCAATATACCTATGTCACTATGTGGGAAGATTTGCATAACGCCGCCCAAATGTTCACGCAAAGAAAGAAGGCGTAACTTTTATTCTTGCTGTAGTATTGATGTTGCCGCCATCGCCATGTCGTGAAGGCGCTGTGTGTTTCGTTGTGAAAGCAAAACTACTTTGTTTGGCCTTCCAAAAGAGGACGATATCGCTTCGTAATGCCTGGATCTGATCCGTGCTGGTCGCTGAGGAAATACTTCAACTTCGCGCTGTCGATCGCCGGATCGGCTTTCACCGCGGACAAAGCGGCGTCCAGCCTGGGGTCCTCACATGTAGTTGCCGCAGGCATCACAATATGGTAAGGGACATAACATTTCCATCACACGCTTGAGGAATTCGGCCAATCACAACGCACTGGATAGCTGGCCAATCAGAGCACACCTCGCTTTTTCAGACCGCTGAGCTTTGTAAAAATCGAGGCGTTTCAGAAAGGCGGGGCATAGAGGAGAAACAATAATGTACAGTATGTGGAAAATAATGTGTTTTTTGAACCTTAAACCGCATAAACCTATTTCATTACACCAAGAACACAAAATAATGTTATTTTTAGCAACATCATATGACCCCTTTAAAAACACACCCGACCAATAGTCCGGTTCGCCAAATGAATGTCTCTTGCGAGCTGGTTCTTTATAGTGAATCAAAAACATTCAGCGCCATATTCAGAGTCGTATTCCTGAACAAATGATTTTCATGACGTGGTTCTTTGTAGCGAATCAACATCATAAGAGTGCCACTTTGTAGTCCGATTCCAGAATGACTCTTATGAGCTGGTTCTTTCTAGTGATTCTGAATCAACCGGAGCGGTTATTGATTTAATCTAACTTGCTGAACAATTACTTTCGTCGTGTCTGAAGAAAAGCAAGAAAAGTTACTGTGGTATGGTAAGTACTTGTGAGAGTGTTAGTTAATTACTGGTTGTTCTTATGACAGTAGTTAAAGATGTACATTGAGTTTTATTGCAGGCTAATTGGTGGTAGTTTGGCAAATGAAATGTCACCATGTTTGTTTAGTGTTTTTATTTAATGTATAGGGTCAGTTATTGGGTTGCATTTATGGCACCTCTAAATGGTCTATGTTTGAAAGAATTTTATTACATTTATTTCTGATTTGAGTTATGCTGAAATCTGACATGATTTCTGCGAAAGTTCTATGATCCCCATTCTGAATTTTGATGCGGATATTTGGCCTTAACTTTGTTTCCATGCATTTCTGACCTGATGTATGGCTTTAAGATAATAGTTCTTATTTGAGAGTCTAATGCTTGATGTTCTGCATTGAGCTATTAGACTGTAAACTGCATCATAATCTTACATTATGGGATTGTGCAAATGTTTGTTTTGCATGTGTCACAAATGCAAATGAGCTGTTTTTCATTTCAAACAGTTGTCCAAAGAAATTGTCCAGAAAAGTTATGTAATATTCTTGGGCGAGAACTCTCTCGTTCTCTCTCTCACACACATATGCTAACACAAAGGAGGTGTACCTGCTTTCTTTACTCAAGGAAGGAAGGGAAGTTGTTAGGTGGTTCAACAATAGACTGGCTGAGTGCAGGGGTTGGATTTTTAAAGGCATGTTCAGGCACACATATATGAGTATGTCATTCTCCCTCTCTCACATACATCTCAACTGGAAACGTGTGGGTTTTATTTGGCAGAGATTCTGCAAAAAGCAATGAAGCAAGACGACAACTCCAAATTGCTGCCTCCAGGGCTAGAGAGTTCAATTTCATGTCATTTCAGTTCACAATTTCATATATCTAGTGTTCACTAAGGGAGGTAAGAATAAGGAGAAGCTCGATAACATCAAACACGTTAACATATTCTGGTTCAGATGGCACAGATTGTATCTTATTTCACTTGTCCCCATTTTTGGGCATCAGTTTTATCTGTAAGCCAAGATGACATGTCAGATTAGTTATATGTATAGTTGTATAATTAGGTTCGGTGTTTGAGATGTATCTTGATGTGACATTTTGGAGTATTCACACAGGGGTTTGTGGCAACAAAACAACCAACAGTTTTCATTTTTATTGCATATTTTGGAAGATAACGTGATATCCATTACCTTATTAAACCTCTTTATTTCTCTCTTTTTCCCCTTTTTTCTCATGTTGCTAATTGTCTCCCACCATCCTACTTTATCTGGCTATGTTCCCTCAATCTTTAGCAACAAATTTAAGCGTTCATCCTAAAAATAAACAAATCAGCATGCACTCTACAGTTCTGTGAAACAGCAGTTATCTTGCTAAAAAAGAAAGCAAGAGATGAAGAGAGAAAGAAATGTGAAATAGTAGTTTATGCACTATTATTAGCATTGGCCACATAGAGTCTTGGGGGGGAAAGAGAATAAGCAAAGATTTTGACTGAGAGTAATGTTACATGTGCTCTTAATTTAACCATTGGTGACTGATCCAAGACCCATTGTGTTTGTTTTGGTCAGACTTGCTGAAGTCTATACAAAAGTGGTTTCGGTCAATCCAAAGGCAGTTTATTTAAAGTAGGAGTTCACTAAAACTACACATGAACTGTCATAACCCATCAAACTCTGCTGGCTTGCACAGACAGTTAGTGGGAACTCGTGTCGGTTTGTGTTGTGCTTCAGACTCTGTCTCCAGTCTGGGTTTTCTTTTTCTCGCTAGCTCTTTTGTTTTGTGGGTGGTCCATATTTGATCGATTCTGACCTGATTTTGTAATCTTGGAACACACACATACCTAGCTGCCTCCGATAGACCGTCAGTCCGTCACAGGGCAGTAGTTCTTTTTATCTTCCCACCGTACCACTGCTGGCTTCCAAAGCTTAAAGACCCTCCATGCAATCCAATATGGCACAATGTACCACTCGTCTCTTTTGTCCACTATATTCTTCTACAGCACAGTGTTATGAACAGATCAGCTCTGATGGTTGCTAGTCTAATATTGTAAAAAAAAATTCATTCACGGCAAAAGCTTAACCTTTTTGTATAACTTACATTTTTTTAATCAATTCATGTTGACCTTTGACCTGAATCACCCTATTAGCCAAGATTACTATTTAAATGTAGAAAACAATTAAGTATCCAATGATAAATATGCAGTATTGGTCAATAACAGATGCCCTATTTCGACCAATAACCAACATAGCTTGACATGTAAAAAATGGACTTTGTCTTCAGGCAACATTCCTTCAAAGTTTTGGCTGGAGTGGAAGACTCTGAAAGTCTTGGAAGGTTCTGGGCATTTCTGCCTGTTTACTTGGGTATGTGGTGGTTAGGGCTGGGCTATTTTGCAAAAAATTTAAATCTAGATTTTTTTCCAGAATGTTTGACTGATTCTCGTTTTTTTATGATTTTTAACTAGTCAACTTGAAAATGTGACTACAACATGATTCAAGTTACTTTTTCTTTATTAACCTTCTAGTTAAAGAAAATTCTATTCCAAGAGCAGCACATATGAAGTTGTCAACATGATGTAAATGTTAAACAAATCACTTGTTAAATATCTTTGCAGAAAAGATGCAAAAACTACAACTACATATTGTACAAACTTGTCTTATACATATTATGTGTTCAGAAATAATACGAGGAAAATTATTTTAGAAAATCTCAAAAGCTACAAAATCAAACATCGGAAGACTACAGAGAACGGTTCGGACTGCTGAAAGGATTATTGGTGCTCCCCTGCCCACCCTTCAAGAACTGTATACATCCAGAGTGAGGGAAAGGGCTCAGAAAATCACTCTGGATCCCTCACATCCAAGTTATCCCCTTTTTGAACTTTTGCCATCTGGTCAGCGCTTCAGAGCCGCAAATACCAGGACAGCCAGGCACAAGAACCGTTTCTTCCACCAGTCAATCTACCTCATGAACAGTTAAATGTTCCCCACATTATGCAATAAAAATGTGCAATAACCTTATATTTATTTGTTACCACCTCCATCCTAGTACATCCCTGCATCTCATTCTATTCTATTCCATTCTATCATCTATAGCACAACTGTACATACAATTTATTTATTTTTCAATTTAATTTTCAATATTTGTTTATATTAATATTTACTTTAATATTAATAAATAATATTTAAATTTACATGCGTATTTATTTATTTTTTAATTCTCAGCTTATTTTTTATTGTCTCTGTGTACTGGAAGCTTATGCCACTAAAACAAATTCATTGTATGTAAATTCCTTGCATACTTGTCAATAAAACTTTTTCTGAT